TATATATATATATATGGGAATATTTGTTGGATATTGTTATTGATATAAGTTATTGAACACTAATGAAAGGAGAATAAAATGACTTGTAGATTCAGTGATGACATGTTAATTTTATTGTTTCTTTTTAATTGTTCGCAGGTCCTTGTCATATATATATATATATATATGGGAATATTTGTTGGATATTGTTATTGATATAAGTTATTGAACACTAATGAAAGGAGAATAAAATGACTTGTAGATTCAGTGATGACATGTTAATTTTATTGTTTCTTTTTAATTGTTCGCAGGTCCTTGTCCTCCTTGCCCAAAGGTGGTCACAACAGCCTGTTATTGTAAGAAGGCTAAACCAGTGCCACGAAGGTGCAGTACCAAAGAATGGTCATGTCAGCTGCCATGTGGTCGAAAGCTGCCATGTGGACAGCACAATTGTGAGAACCCTTGTCACCCAGGTAGACATGATCTCTGAACCAATTTAGAGGAGTAGTTATCATCAGTTGTTAAGAGTTGAAGCTTGTCTGTATGAACTGATCAGAGAGGAAAAAATGATTTTAATCCTTCTGTCCCCTCTCAATTAAATCTATATTCATTACTTATTTTAGGAAATTGTCAGCCCTGCCCACGAGTCAGTAAACAAAGGTGTATCTGTGGTAGACAAATAGCAGAAAGGCTCTGTGCAAGTCCATTTTGGCAGTGTGAGCAGGTATGTTTCAGAAGTCCTTTTAAAAAAAAAATGTTTTGGGGGATCATCTTAACAGCCAATTTTCTTTAACAAAAACTTTAACCAGTAACGTTTTTCAATTTTATTTATTCTTTTTGTAAAGATACATGGTTTTGAATGTGCACACACACAAATCTAGTTAACAGTCATTTGAAGATAGATGTTACATGGGCCCAATTCACCCTTAATATTAGTATTCATAACCTTGTTGACTGTTGCAATTTTGCTTGCTTATGACTAAACCTACCAATTTCACAACTGTGAAAAGCACATCATGGATTGTGAAATAAGCCCTTTGCAATGCAATCTGATATCCCCTTGTTCGTAGGAGCACCCCGGTAAATGGGTCTTCTAGCTCTGGCTGGCTTGGAGAGGGACAGGATTTGTTGATCTCTTACATAGCCACTTGGGGTGAGTGGGGAGACCAGACACATCTCTGGGTGCCTCCCTTGGTGCAGGATGCTCTGGGACTGGGCAGCGGTTCCAGAGGTTCCTGAAATTAGGGGAGACTTGTGGAGTTGGGCCCATTTTCCTGGTGCTGCTGAAAGCATTCCAGAAAAGGGAGTTTGTAGCTGCTAGAGAAGGCAGATCTGGGGCAGTACAGGACTCTTGTGTATCTCTATCAGCTGTGGATAGCTCTGAACCAGTCCAGATCTGAAGGCAGAATAGAAGTGAGGATGGTAATCCCATAATCCCCATACACTAAATTGGGACCCCCATGGTTACAACTCCATATAATTTAAGGTTTAAATACCTAAAACCATGAATTTAAACTTTTTTTTAATCCTGAAATTTACTGATTTTTTTTTTTAAGTGTTTTGCAATAGACTGTAACAAACTGTGAATTTGGTAGGGCCCTGCTTATGGCAGTGGTAAACTTTTGCTTTTGGTGGTTGTCTAGTAACTTTCAAAAATTTTTGAGAAACTACTTTTGGCATCTTAAATATGAAATATAGCTTAGGATGTGCTCTAGAGCACCTCTAGAGGGGGGAGGAATAGCTCAGTGGTTTGAGCATTGGCCTGCTAAACCCAAGGTTGTGAGTTCAATCCTTGTGGAGGCCATTTGGGGCAAAAATTTGTCAGGGATGGTACTTGGTCCTGCTGTGAAGGCAGGGGACTGGACTCAATGACCTTTCAAGGTCCCTTCCAGTTCTAGGAGACAGGCAATCTCCATTAATTTATTTCAATTTATCCTCACTTACTAATAGCAAGTAGGAATGTTGAAAAAGCAGTTAACTAGGTATTTGTGTAACCACTGAAAATTCTTAGAAGTTACACTAGTAGCACTTCTAAAAGCATAAGCAGTTTACTAAGAATTATTTGGTATTTGTGAGACAGTCCTAAAACTGTAGATACTAAGAATGAAGAATGAAAAAACCTTGAATTGAGAGAAAACAAAGTATAAGTGTTCTTGTAAGACAGTACACAATCCCTGATTTCAATGTGTAGGTTAAGCATATTTTCAGAGCTCAGAAAAAAATCTTCCCTCCTCCTGAGTTTTGTGCCCTTCCATCTTGTTAAATTGCTCATTGTCAGCTGTAGAACTATTCTAGTTTTGTTTTTTCTTTAAGGTGTGTGGAAGAACTTTGCCTTGTGGTAATCACACATGTGAACTAGTTTGTCACTCTGGTCCCTGTGGAGAATGTCCTCGGTCTGGCAAAAGGCCCTGTCCATGTGAAAAATCAAGTAAGGATTTTCTCTCTCATTGAGGCACATCAGTTTGCTGTAATAGGTATCAAATATTCAAACAGGCCCCAAGTAGTATAAAATTACAGACAAAAGTTGTAGCTGTTTTATAAACCTTTTTTATAGTAGCAGTTGTCAAAGGATTACTTTGCAGTGTAGTCACTTAGCTAGTTTCAATGAGCAATGAAAGCTTCTAGTTTTATATAACTTTGTTGCTTTATTCTTTACAAGTTGGATATTACTGATTTAATTTAACTGAGTCTGATAGAGATGCTAACTAGGGATGTAAGCAACTAGTCAACTAGTGAAGCGACTAGTTGTTTCCCCCACCCTTGCTGCCTCTATCAGAGAGTGGCACCAAGGTGGGAGAGCAAGACCTGATGCTGATGCTAAAAAGCTAGTTCCTCCCAGCACTGTCTCCGCAGGGGAGGTAGAGGCACAGTGGGAAACAGCGCAAGTGGGGACCGAAGCAGTCTCTGCGTGCCCCGGTTCTGCTGCAGTTCTGCTTTTGAAATGTACAAGAGCCCCGGAAGGGCCCTTGAACATTTAAAAGGCTGCAGGGAGCCGGTCCCCTACTGATCCCATGCTCTCTGCTGGGCTTCTGCTTTTGAACAGTAGCAAGAGTCCTACCAGGCTCTTGCTACAGTTCAAAGGCGGAGGTGCCCTTATTGGCTAATTGAATACTCGATGGAAATCCCATCAACGATTTGATTAGTTAGTTAATCTAAATTTAACATCCCCAATGCTAACTTAATTCAGTATATTTGTATAATTTCTGTAGAGTTTCTTTTAAAAATGAGGGTGAATTTAGAAAATACAGGTCAAATTGTCAGTTGCATATCTAGATTCATCTTTGTGCAATCTTTTCTTTTCTTTTAGTGTTTTTTTTGCCTTGTACGGAAGATGTACCTACATGTGGAGATAGTTGTGACAAAGTTCTTGAATGTGGAATCCATAGGTGTTCACAGCGTTGTCATCGTGGTCCCTGTGAAATTTGTAGACAGGTTAGTTTTAATCTGTTCTGAACATGTAACTTTTAAATGCTTTGCAAGTTTAACAGAACATAAGAATGGCCATACTGGGTCAGACCAAAGGTCCATTTAGCCCAGTATCCTGTCTACCGACAGTGGCCAGCACCAGGTGCCCCAGAGAGGGTGGACTGAAGACAATGATCAAGCGATTTGTCTCCTGCCATCCCTCTCCATCCTCTGACAAACAGAGGCCAAGGACACCATTTTATCCCCTGGCTAATAGCCTTTTATGGACCTAACCTCCATGAAATTATGTAGCTTTCCTTTAAACTGTATTATAGTCCTATAACAGAGATTTTTGCCTCTTAAGTACCCATCTAAAAACTGATTATTTATGCAAATGTGTTCAGAAAAATGTAATACATTTGTCTGTTTCCTAACCAATATGTAAAGCTGAACTGATAGCTGAGCAAACTTAACTAGAAGTCCTTTGTGCATAATGCACATCTTCAGCTAGCACTATGAATAGGCCACTAACATTGCTATAGTGATGCTGACAACTAGTTTTAGGCCAAAATTTAAAATGTGGGTGCCATAAAGGCTTTATTACATTTAATCATATTTTGCAAGTTTTAAGGGTTGAGTTCTGTTTTTAAGCATTCCCTGGTATGGTGTCAACCCAAATAATGTTTTTCCCAAAGCATGAAAATTCAAAATCAAACTGACTAATATTTATATAGTCTCTAAGCTGAGTTAAGTGGAAAAACCAACTGCATAAATGACACAGGTTAATAAAGTGAATTCAAAACTGCCTATTACAAATAGCTAGTTTTTAAAAAAAATTAATATGATAGTTTGAGGAGGACTGCCCAGTGGTTAGGGCATTGGCCTGACCAGATTCAGTTCCTTGCTCCACTACAAGACTTTGCATGAATTTAGTCAAATCCTTTAATCTGTCTGCCTCATTTCCCTATTTTTAAACTGGGGATAATAGTATTACCCTGGAGTGCTGTAAGGATGAGTACATGGGGGGGAAAAAATGGTGAGGGGCTTAAATAATATAGTAGTGATTCTCCACCTGTTTGTGGCCCACTACCTGGGCCACAAGTTGAGAACTATAGTACTGCCCACCTAAATCACTCCACAAACTCATGTGGCCAGTGCTCTCGTTCCAGAGACCTCTCCAGAAAGGGGAGCCAGGAGTCATAGAATACTAGGACTGCAAGGGACCTCGAGAGGTCATTGAGTCCAGTCCCTTGTCCTCATGGCAGGACCAAATACTGTCTAGACCAGGCATTCTTAACCTTTTTACCTTCACACCTCCCCTGAAAGTAAACTTCATGGTCTCACTGCCTTGGGAGCCATTTTGTGCACAGCCTAGCCCCGCCCCCTCACCTGACAGGAAGCTAAGGGGCGTGGCTAGGACTATAAGAATTTTTCCAGGGAGCTCAGTCAGGGCCCAGCCTCTGAGGAAGACAGAGGCCTGCCCAGAGCTCCTGGCTGAGGAGGCTGAGACCTGTCCTACAACTGCCTTCCCTCACGCCAGCAAAGGCTTCCCTGAGAAATTTTCTGGGAGGCACCTCACACCTCCTCTGTATCCCCTTCACACCTCCCCTGGGGAGGCACACCAAATTGGTTAAGAACCCCTGGTCTAGACCATCCCTGATAGACAGACATTTATCTAACCTACTCTGAAATATCTCCAGAGATGGGGATTCCCAAGTCCAGTCCCCTGCCCCCATGGCAGGACCAAATACTGTCTAGACCATCCCTGACAGACATTTATCTAACCTGCTCTTAAATATCTCCAGAGATGGGGATTCCACAACCTCCCTGGGCAATTTATTCCAGTGTTTGACTACCCTGACAGTTAGGAACTTTTTCCTAATGTCCAACCTAAACCTCCCTTGCTGCAGTTTAAGCCCATTGCTTCTTGTTCTATCCTCAGAGGCCAAGATGAACAAGTTTTCTCCCTCCTCCTTATGACACCCTTTTAGATACCTGAAAACTGCTATCATGTCCCCCCTCAATCTTCTCTTTTTTCTAAACTAAACAAATCCAATTCCTTCAGCCTTCCCTCATAGGTCATGTTCTATAGACCTTTAATCATTTTTGTTGCTCTTCTCTGGACCGTCTCCAATTTCTCCACATCCTTCTTGAAATGCAGTGCCCAGAACTGGACACAATACTCCAACTGAGGTCTAACCAGCGCAGAGCAGAGAGGAAGAATGCTCACAACACACTTGTTAATGCATCTCAGATTCATGTTTGCTTTTTTGCAACAGCATCACACTGCTGACTCATATTCAGCTTGTGGTCCACTATAACCCCTAGATCTCTTTCTTCCGTACTCCTTCCTAGACTGTCACTTCCCATTCTGTATGTGTGAAACTGATTGTTCCTTCTTAAGTGGAGCACTTTGCATTTGTCTTTATTAAACTTCATCCTGTTTACCTCCAACTATTTCTCCAATTTGTTCAGATCATTTTGAATTATGACCCTATCCTCCAGAGCAGTCGCAACCCCTCCCAGCTTGGTATCATCTGCAAACTTGGTATCATCTGAATAGAATGCCAGGCACTGGGTGGGTGGCAAGTACTGCGCAGTGAGGTCAGGATCCTAGGGAAGAGCTAGGATTGTGGAACCTCCTGCAATGCTGAACTTCCTGGCTGCTACCTGACCCTGCACTGCACCCTAGACCTTGACCCTGCTGTTTTGCAGGGCCTGGTAGTAGCCTACAGCCCAAGCTTGCTGCATGGTAGCCAGGACTCTGGACCCTGAGCCTGTTGGATAGTAGTCGGCAGCCTGACCTTTCCTCATGGTAGGGGCCTCTCAGCCTTTAGTACAGAGCTGAACTGGGTTGCAGCTGTGTGCTAATTGGGCTATAGATTGAGAAGAGAGATAATAATGGAGGCTATATAAATACCTAAGATGTATGATTGTTGCCTCTTTTATATTTGACCCAACCTGTAGCCCAGTGGTTCCTTTCTGAATGCTAGTGATAAGTTGGCTTGAAAACACTTTGTTGTGGATTTCCCCCAACTTTGCCCTTGGAGGCATGACTTCTCAACCACTATTCTCTCTAGGATAAGATGAATAGGGCATGGTTCACTCAGCTACTTGATATTGCATCTGATCTCGCAGAAGCAACATTAGTTCCTTTGAATGCTCTTAACTAATTTTTATCCTCCCTTGATCTGTGTGCAGCGCTACAGCTCACAGAGCACGGAAGTGGTTTGTGTATTTAGCTCAGTGCCGTAGTTCTGTGCATGGCATTTTGCTGTAGCTAGACACAATAAGGCCCACGTTTTTAAAGAATAGTCAGTTCCGGCTCTTAAGTTACAGATGACGTATGTTGAACTGAGCTAATTCCTTGAATTAGCTTAGAAGACATGGTGTTATGCTTAAAAGAAGCACCCGGGACCTTTTTCAGGGGGATAAGGCAACACACTGCATTTATTGATAATATAACAAAGTAGCGCACACTGCTGATGGAATAGTTACCAGTCTATTGCTCGGCCCAACTTATTGGCCAGATAGGTCGAGTACAGGCTTGGGGGGGGGGGGGGAGGAGAGGGAGAAGGGGAGAATTTCTTGTCAGTCTGGACTGATGCTCCATGGTCTTAGCAGGATGAAAACCTGAAGAACCATACAAGACACCACATCCTTTATAGGATTTTCCTTCCATGCAAGTCTGTGTATTTTGCCTTGTCAGGCCTTAATCAGTCACTCAGCATCACAGTCAATCTTCCTACAACATATGCTTATTGGGAAGAAGTTGTTTTCTCAGTCATTTAATATCCATATGCTGACAATCCCTCAGGGGTGTTGCTTTTCCAGTGAGAGTTGTTATCTGTTCCCTACCAAGGGGTGTTTGCCACTATCTTCAAGATTCGTCAGTCTGTCCCGGTCCAATCTCTGTCTTCAAAGTGTTTAGCTTAATTGATGACTTTTCTGGTGCTGGACTGAGTGCCCGGCTCCTCCTTTGGCCTTCACACTTACCTCTTCTAAAACTTTCTCTTTCATACAAACGATACACTTACAGAATTGCAGCATGGAACAAAGGGGTACTTCTAGTCACTTTAACAAAGTTACAGAGTCTTTCAACATTATACTTCTTTCTGACCTTGCCTAATATTAACATCACTATGTATTACAATATTCCATCCCTTTGCTTTTACATCAGAACATGCTAACATCGAACAGAGCTGGAGCTAAGTTAACAAAGCTGCCTGGCCTGTCTGAGGCCTACATCTTGTGTTTAAGTTTAATCCAAACCTTTTGCTATAACATACATTCATTATAACTAGCTAACTTATTACTTACACAATTACAAGGCTACAGTGGCCTCGGGGAAGAATCTGATGGGACGATGCCCTCTCTTTGGGTACTGGGGTGGAAAGATTTTCCAATTACAGTATTACTTCTCCAAAAAAGGTAATCTCCATGGCCTTTCAAAGCTCTGCCCCTTTCTCTTTGTTCATTCTTATTGTGCTACTCTACTGTGTTCTATGGTCTGCTGGTAATGGCAGCCTCAGCTGCTCATTACTAAGCATCTAAAATATCTTCTACTCTTTTTATGCATGGAACATTCTTTCAGTTGATCTTTATGGTAACTTCCCATATTTTTTTCAGTTGTTGCTTCCAGATAACTCAGCTACAATTTTTGTGGGAAAGTAGCCTAAGGTATGGTAGTTGGAAAGCTGGTCAGATAAGGTTGCTTATTTAATTTTATACAATGTTTGTGTGTATTTGTATCTCCTTTCCTCACATCTTTGAGTCAGTCTTTTTTTGAGCTGTGGTAGAAATGTAGTCGTGTTAGTCTGGTGCAGCTGAAACAAAAAACAGGACTGTGGAGCACTTTAAAGACTAACAAGATAGTTTAATAGGTGATGAGCTTTCGTGGGCCGAAGTGGGTCTGGCCCACGAAAGCTTATCACCTATTTAAACCATCTTGTTAGTCTTTAAAGTGCTACACAGTCCTGGTGTGGTGTTTTTTGAGCTGTAAGCTATGCAGAGCAGAGACAGAATCCTCCTATGTTTTTATAGTGCCTAACACAATAGGGTTTCTGGATGATACTATAATGTAAGTTAGTCTGTTGTCTTGAAAGTTCTTGGTAGAAAACTCTTTAACTTCCAATTGTAATGTGTTGTCATTATTCTTTTTCCCCCTCCACTCCTCAGGAAGTTGAAAAGCAGTGCCGTTGTGGAAAGCATACTAAACGCATGCCATGTCATAAACCGTATCTGTGTGAGACGAAGTGTACTAAAATTCGCGATTGCCAGAAACACCAGTGTAAGAGAAAGGTCAGTGTTAATACACATTTTAACAATACACTTACAAAGTGATCATTAAAGTTCTAAGTTTTGTTTTTGTCCAATTTTATATTCTGCTTTTACAAACGTAGAAGTTTGCCGTTATTGTACTCTTAAGGTTTTTTTTAACATTAACATGCAATAAACCAAACATCCTTGTATTGTCCATGTAGAAATTATCATGGGGAGTTTTGAGGACTTTTCGCAATCATGAATGTATTGAAAGAGATTTGAATTCATGCCATTTAGGACAAGGATTCTCAAACTGTTGCTGTTGGAGCTTGCTTAAACTTCATATCTGTTAGAGATGTATGCAAGTGTGGCGCTAAAGGGTTGTACTAGTGTTTGGTCATAAAAATCAGTTCAGGCATTCCTGTTCTTAAAATTCTCCTTTCTTATATTTGCTATATGTAAATCTGAGGTCAAATTACATATGCATAGAAGCATAATTTCCAAATTTGTATGTACAAAGATCATTAACAGTTAGCCAAAAGTTCCAAGTAGCATTTGTCACAGTACAAATAACAATGGAAAATTAGACACCACCCTCTACAGAAAACCCCCTGACTCCTACAGTTACCTACATGCTTCCAGCTCCCATCCAGCACACACCATATGATCCATCATCTATAGCCAAGCCCTTCGATACAACCGCATCAGCTCTAATCCCACTGACAGAGACCAGAAACTTCAGGATTTCTACCAAGCATTTATAAACCTCAACTACCCACCTGGAGAAATAAAAAAGCAAATTGAAAGAGCCAGATGAATACCTAGAAACCATCTACTTCAAGACAGACCCAAGAAAACCAACAATAGAACACCACTTGTCATCACCTACAGCCCCCAACTTAAACCTGTCCAACACATTATCAATAAACTACAGCCTATACTGGAACAGGATACTGAACTCCACGAGGCTCTGGGAGACAGACCCATAGTCTCCTATAGACAACCACCTAACCTCAAGATGATTCTTACCAACAACCACAAAACATACCACACTAATACCAACCCTGGTACCTTCCCTTCCAACAAACCCCATTGCCAGCTTTGTCCACATATCACTCTGCTGATACCATTATTGGACCTAATCAAGTGAGTTATAAGATCAAGAATACACATTCCTGCGCATCCAGAAATATAATTTATGCTATCATGTGCCGAAAGTATCCGTCTGCTTTGTACATTGGACAAATGTCTCAGACACTTCGCCAAAGGATCAATGCCCACAAAACAGACATTAGACAGGATCACAAAGAAAAAAGTTTCTTGCCATTTCAACCAGAAAAGACACTGTCTCAACTACTTAATTACCTGCATCCTGCTTCAGAAGCCTTTTAAATCTGCACTTGAAAGGGAATTCTCTGAACTGTCATTCATGCTAAAATTTGACACTCTATGCGGGGGGGCTCAACAAAGACTCTGAGTATCTTACCCATTACGAAGATAGCTTCCCTAATTATCACCTCTAATCCTGGCTTGTGCCGGGTCTGCAAGCTACCCCTGCTGCGATTCTGCAGTTGAAATGTAGTAAGAACCAGGTGGTCAGGTAGCCCGGCTCCTGTTGCATTTAAACTCCAGTGCCCCAGCCACGGTCCCTTCCAGACCCAGCACGAGCTGGGACTGAACTGGGCTGCCTGCCCAGCTGGAATAGTCTCGGCCTGTGGCCAGTGTGGGCCACCACGGATGGGCACTTCACGACAGCTCTCTCCTTCCTCCCCCCCGTGGCTTCCTCTGATAGAGGCAGCAGCATGGGAGAAAGGTAGCACAGTGAAGATGGTGCTGGGGAGAACTGACTTTTCAGCTGGCTCTCTTGTGCCCCGCCTCCTTCCCCCTCCCAGCACCAGCTTCTGCTTCTCCCTGCCTTGCTGCCTCTGATATAGAGGCAGTGGGAGGTGGGAAATGTGAGTGGTCAACTTGACTGATAAGCCAGGCTTATCGGTTAGTCGACTACTTGCGTACATCCCTAGATCTGTCCCAGCTGGTAGACATGCATCCCTCCCATGGCTGTGCCCACTGGAATGTAAGTGGCTCTGGAGAGGTGCTTCTCACCTGGCCCAAGCTGCTGCAATTGAGAGAAGGCTGGGTTAGTCCTCTTCCTGCGGCAGCCTGCATATTGAACCCGTCATCCCAGCCCTACCCCAGAGCATGATTTAAATGAAGCATGTACATGTTCATTTTTTTTCAAAACAAAAATTAAGGATCCAGCAACACTGTAAATCTTCTAGTGTCATTCATATTTGAAAAGAGCAAATATCATAAATGGAACCTGAGGGAGGCTGTAAGGGGTCTGAAATTCTATCTTTTCCTGTTCATTTTCTGTGTTTGTCCCCCTTAAGGATGTCCTTGAATGCAGTTAGAGGAGAGAAGCAATCTTTATTTTTTCCCTTTTTGTAGCTTTTTGAGGACAGCCTTTTAGGCAATCCAGGATGGATTTGATTTAAATCACTAGTCAGGAAGACATGATTTAATCGTGGTTTTCTACATAAAAGTGCATTCTTGTTGGGGTTTATAGCCTTAATACATATTCTTCACAACTCAGATATAGGTTTCATTTTTAGAAGGTACGCACTATGCATTTTTAAACGGGTTTATTTTAAAAACTTTACATATTAGTTTTACAGCTATATCAGAAAATGAATGATTGGTTATTTAATTTACGAATGGTAACGAAGCAGGTATTTTTGAAGTCAGAGAGAGGTGAACTATTTCCAATTAAACAGTTTAATCCATTAAAATTTAAAGGATTTTCTTGTCATGCTGTATTTGGAGGAGAACATCACCAGGCAGACATTTTAAATTATTTTATTTAACTAAAACAACATAATTAAGTATTCTGGATTTTTTTTCCTTCAACAGCAAATATATAATATTTTAACAAGCATATGAATTTTTTAAATTTAGTTTCACATTCAAGGTTTTGAAAATCAAGTTTGTTTTTTTTTTTTTGTTAACTAAAATAGTTAAATGTAATTAAATCAACATGGAAAATGTAATGTTGGCTTCTGTAGCTAACTCAGCTATCTTCATCTTCATTTTCCTGTTTGTTCATAATCTGGAAAAGAAAATAAGCTTTCCCACTTTTTCAGGTCTCAAACAATTTCTCAATTTGGAATGAATTAGTCCAAAGGAAGAAAATATTGTATCTACACCAGCAACATAAGCTTCTGCTGTTAAGTGAGATTATCACTTCAGCAGTCTCTGAATCCAAGGCTATGTCTAGACTGCAAGCCTCTTTCGAAAGAGGCTCTTTCGAAAGAGAGCGTCTAGACTGCACGCGGAATTTCGAAAAAGCAAGCCGCTTTTTCGAAAGAAAGCACCCAGTGAGTCTGGATGCTCTCTTTCTAAAAAGCCTGTTTTGCTTTCAAGAACGCCTTCTTTCGAAAGAGCACTTTCGAAAGAAGGCGTTCTTCCTCGTGGAATTAGGTTTACCACCGTCGAAAGAAAAGCCGCATTCTTTTGATTTAATTTCGAAAACGCGGCTGCAGTCTAGACGCAGGTGAAGTTTTTTCAAAAAAAGGCTACTTTTTTCGAAAAAAACCCTGAGTCTGGACACAGCCCAAGTGCTTAAGTAACTTCTGCCAGTTCACTGGTATGACTTGCTTTAAAACATCATCAGAAAACATACATTTATTGAATGCTTCATCCTTAGCTCTGAAGTTTATTTTAGTTGGGATTACAGAGGGATGATTTCTGGATGCCCATGTCATAGCCAACTGCTCTTCTTCAGTAATTCAGGTTTGATTCTGGTACCGAGTATTGAGAATATTTGCAAGAAAATGAGCTGGAGATGGTGCTTGTCCATTCATTTTCTTTTTAAATGGTTGTGATTTAACTCTGACATTTCATATTTCTCTCTTTAAGATCACACTCCGTTTCTTCCAAATTACAACAGCATCAGCGGTGGTAAAGCTGTTTCCCTGCGTTTTGTTCAAGGCTTACAGAAATAGGCTCCAGGGTAATTAGCATGTTCAACAGTTCTCTTAAGTCTAATGTTGAGAACTTTGTTTGCTACAGTGCCATCTATATTTTCAGGATTTTGTTCACAAACTGTCATCATATTAGGCCTATTCTTCATATAGTGCTTAAAGTAGTCTACTACTGTGTTTCCTCACATGAATTGTGGGAGTTAGCTTAGTTCTTCCCACCTTTTTCAGAACAGCTGCTACAAAGTTATGGAACTGTTTTGCAATTTCAACATTAGCCTTGATTTCTGGAGCACTGAGGTCTTTGGCTAGGAAGTGCATAAATGAGCACTGCAAATATATGTTGTTAGTTAGGGACTCTCTTCACTCCCTTCTAAATTTCTTCTCATCTTGGATATATTTGCAGCAATGTCTGTGACGAATCTGCATACTAGACATTTGAATTTTTTTCCATAGTTGGGTATAGATTTTACTGCTACTTCTTGTAAGTATTTTGCTGCATGTATGTTTCCTGATGCATCAGTTGTTTCTGAAAGGAAGACATTCCCTTTTTCTGCTGTCATACATGCACATAGGACAGGATCGTTGTGGACATTGCTCCACCCATAGAGACTCAGGTTAACAATTTTTTCCCCTCTAGATTTTTTTTAACATACTGCTCAATTTCTCTCGTACAGTGCAACATCTTTTTTGTTGGGGAATTTTATCCTGGACTTAATGACTGAACCATGTTAATGAAATATGGGTTCTCAGTCATACAGAAAGGCAATTTTTTCATCAATTACCTCTTTTTGTAATCTGCTGGTTTTTCTCTCAAACTTATCTATGGTTGTTTCTGGTGATGGACATTTTTTTCTTTTTATATCTTTACATCTGATATACTATATTTTTGCTCAAACATGAGAATTCAAGAATAGTCCAGAAAGAAGACAGGCAATCCTTAAGAAAGAAGTATGCAATAAAAAAGTTTACCAACATGAAGATGCTGCATGTTCTGACGTGTTCCTTTCATCATCATTAATGCAGCTTCCTCCTAAGAAGGACACGTCTCATGATGTTGCTTCATTTGGGCAACCAGGCCTTGCGTTTCTTTGTTGCACTGTTTGCAATTTGCACACATGCCTTACCCACTGGTAGAGGAACATTAAAATATTCACAAATTGAGTCTATTTTATGGCCTGCTGCCATTATAGTGTTTCCTTTTGAATGAGAGAATGGTATGGTAGATCTGAAATCAGTGGTGGCTACCCTCAGAAAGACCTCAAGATTTCTGGAATACACTGCTCGTACAGTGTCACTTTCTACTGCCTGTCCCTTTCTTCTCAGATTTATCTCCAGACTTCTCCTTATCCAGATCTATTCTGCACCAATAATCTTCTATTTATTGAACTTTTTGAAACTGTGCAGTTTGAGAGAGGTAAGGGATTGACTATGTATACACACATTTGAAGAGGGACAATAGGGTTGAGGTCTTATTTCTTATCTCTGTATGTATATTTATGTAATACATTATTGCTGTTAGCAAGCATTTTATCTCTGGAGAGACACATCCATTGGTTGAAAACTGCAAAACTAAGCATCTTTGATGGTATCCAATGATAGGATATCATTTTTGATGGGCGAGGGGGGGACACTCCAAAATGTAGAAAAGTGGTCGAGGGCTGCACTCTTCCATGGTATTAATAGAGGAGGTGTAGAGTCTGGGATAGAGGTTGGGCACAGAAGGGAGCTTGGGGTAAGGATTGGGATGCAGGAGTGAGAATAGAGTCTGGGAGGGAGTTTGGGTGAAGGAGGCAGTTGTGACCTAGGGCAGGGAACTGGGGTGCAGGTTTTGGGATGTGACCTAGCATAGGAAGGGATTGTGATCTTGTGCAGGAGATTGGGGTGCCATAACTGGGAGGGAGTATGGGTGCATGTGGAGTAGAGGGGAGGGAGTGGGAGGCAGAGGATTGGGTAATGGAGAGACTGGGGTGTCAGAGGCAGGTTCTGGCTGAGAGACTCCAGCTAATAGCCAAACCTGCCTGCCTGCTTTCAAAGTTAAAGGCTTGCAGGGCTTAAAATGTTACTGCCTTCTCAGCCATGTGCTTGAGTGAGTAACTGAGCAAGAAGGCTGTGCTTCATGGCTGCCTGTTGTTCAAACAGGGAGCTCCCGTTGGCCAGTTTCTGCCCAGAAAACAGTCAGTGGGATTGTGCTGGAGGCAGGAGCAGTGTCTGAATCTTTCTCCACCTTCCCCTCCAAACTCATGAAGAGAACGTTCCCCACAACCGCATTTCTGAGCAGCATGTGGGCAAGCAGGGGAGCCTGCCTGGGGCTCCCTGCTGCTTCTGGGGGTTAGATCTGGTAGCTTGGCAGGCCAGATACAGCCTATTTTGCCCAGGTCTGTTCTAGACTTAGCACTGAGTCACACTGGGTAGATAGAAAAATTAATCTAAATAATCTATAAGAAGCCTCTAGAATTCCAGATTGGAGTCCTAATCCATAAACTGTTGGAACTCATTTACAAAACTTTTCTTAAACATTACATGACTGTATTGTTTCATATTATAGAATTAGAATTTATAATACCTATTCCATGATGAGAGATCTTTGAGCTATAATGATGTTAATTAAAATTATCTTTAGGTTTTTTCCTAAAAAAGCATTTTATCAAATAATCCAATTTAAATGAAAAAATATTATTTTACATTTTTTTAATAATTGATTTTTATCCACCTTGAGGCAATCTCAGTGACTCAAACAAGCATTTTTAACTAAAATGACTAGATTGTCCATGTACTTTCAGTTGTGCAGGTGAATGTCTTGCTTAATTTTTGGTTTGTCACTTTTTAAAACTTTTAAGTTGCCACACTGAGGTAAAGAAAATCGATTTTAGTTTTGACTGGCATACTGTTAAAGCATTTTAAAAATTGCAGTACACTGAAGAGAACAAAACTAAATCAGAATTGCCATCTTTTGGATGAGAAAAGTCCAACCTGCTTTTGCAAATACCTATCCCATCTGCCTTCTGTTGTTTTCCAAGTGCAAGAGGGAGGGGCTGCTGCATTCTGCCCTGGAGTCCATTCACTTGTTCTTCTGGATATATGTGTAGTGAATAGAATACGTAGTGTTACACACCTGAGAATAAGCACATAAAATGGACCACAAATCCCAGAAGCATGTAAACAGTATTCTCATTCTGTAGGCACAGAGATGGGGGGAAAAAGCTTAGAGAATGCTGGGCCAGACCAAGGCTAATTGCAGCCATCATCATGCAAACTGTACGGTAGTTGATTCTAAAATGACTTCACAACTCAGTCATGTGCAAAAGTATTCTAGAAATTCACATTAATTGGTGTGTGTGTTTTTAGTGGAAGGTCTATATCTTGTTAATGTATTGAAAAGACATTTTAAAACAAATTTCCATTGTACTTTTTTTTTCTAGTACATTTTTATTATACATGCTCAGTTTCTATACTTCTGTCTCTTGTACAAATGACATTGGAAGAAAGTGGCATGTTGGAAATTCTAAAATAGCAAGTTCTGTGGAATGTTCTGTTTTTATTTTATAGTGTTGTTCTGGAAACTGTCCACCTTGTGATCAACTCTGCGGACGGACTTTAGGATGTAGAAATCACAAATGTCCTTCAGTTTGCCATAGAGGTGAGACCAAACTGAACATTTCTTGTTGAATTGATGCCTTTTTGTTGGAATGTTGTTTCTGTTGGCACTACAATATATAAGCAAGTTCTGATTTATCAAAATAGCACCATAGTCACATGGAAATGTTGATGTCATATGAGGACTCTCTAAAAGGGAAGAAGCCAGTATACCTGTAACCCGTCAGCTGATCTCCTGTTGTGTTTGATTGTGGGGCAATTCAGCGTTTCCTGGGAAAGACAAAGAGGCTCTTTTTGGGAATAAGGTGGAATTGGCATAGGAGATAAGTGAAAAGGGCTGACTTGCTGGACTGTGATGTGGGCAGAAGAATTATGAGACAGTGTGAAATTCCATCGACTACTCGACTAGTCAGTTAACCGCAATTTAACATCCTTAATGTTACAGAGGCAGCATCGTGGGGGGAGGGAGCAGGTGACTCCCTGGGAGCTGGTGAGTATAGGAAGCCAGCTTTTAAACCAGCTCCCGGCAAGTACAGGAAGCCTGTGTATAACCATGCACATTAACCAATGAATTCTGGCTCGTTGGTTAACTGTGTACATGGTTACATTTTCACATCCTTAGTTCGTATGAGTCGCTGTCCTGTCAGCATAGCTTCCACTTCTTGCTGAGATGGATCACCTTCCCATCAGCATAGCACATCTTCACCAGACACCCCTATAGTGTAGACTTGCTCTCTGTCAGATGGTCATTCTTTGCGAAAATGTGAGATCTTTCAGTCTACTTTTCTTTCCTAATTTTAATATAATCATTTTGGGATTCATTTGGAATCAGAATATTCTGATTTATTAAATTCAAATTCCATAGTAATTTGGAATTTCAATTCAGAATCCAGAAAAATGGTCTTGATTACTGGAAAAAACCTGAACTACAAGGGAGTTCAAGAGTCTAAAAAAAAAAAAACCAGTGTTATAGTTCTCCAAGGCCAAATCCTGGTTTCCTTTAAATCATAGTAATTCTTCTGGAATCTTAATAGTGAGTGCCGCCTCTTAAATCATCATCATGCTTTCTAGTAAAGTGGGATTTCTCTCACACTACCTTTTGTTTTCGGGGGAGAGAAAGTGGGTCCCCTGGTGTAGTAATTTCTTTTTGCTATCTAAGACTTACCTTTACGATTTCAAAATGTTTGTCTGTAAAGGACTTTCGGTTCAAAGAAACCCTCTATTTGAAAAAGCAGTCACTGAACACTATTATATAAATAGGGTGGTTCTTAGAATTATAGAATTGGAAGGGATCTCAAGAGGTCATGGAGTCCATTCCCCTGCCCTCATGGCAGGACCAAGCACTGTCTAGACTAGTGGTCCCCAACGCAGTGCCTGCGGGCGCGAGGGCGCTCACTGGGGCTTTTATGCGCGCCCACCTACTGACCAGGGCCGGCCCGAGCCATTCCTGCACCAAGGGTGCGCAGTGCCACCCCCAGGCAAGATAGTGATAGAAATGTAGCCGTGTTAGTCTGGGGTAGTTGAAGCAAAATGCAGGACAATGTAGCACTTTAAAGACTAACAAGATGGTTTATTAGATGATGAGCTTTCGTGGGCCAGACACACTTCCGCGGCTCCCGCCCTGGGCACGTGGCATATGCACGGTGCCACCCCTGGGCGTGCGGCACATTTGGGGCTGCCGGGCACGGGGCCACACAAGGTTGGGGACCACTGGTCTAGACCATCCCGGATAGGTGTCTTTGTAAGTCTGAATCTGCTAGCCTTGCTGTTTGGAAGCACAGGACCTACAGTGAAGACTTGATCTCTCAAGTGAAAAGGGTACTGATCCCTCAATTGGAGAGAACTGGGGTTATGCAGCACTTTTTATATCGTTACTCTGCTCTGTTGTATTAAGAGGCTGGACCATTTCTAAAAAGAAGCAGATTATTTCCTCTAGAACCGTGGTCCCCAACCCGGTGCCCACGGGCGCCATGGTGCCCGCCGGGCCCTTTACATGCGCCCGCGGTGCAATCTGGGCTGGCTCCGCCCCCGCCCCCGGGACGGTGTCCGCGGGCACCATGACGCCCGCCAGGCCCTTTATGTGCGCCCGCGGAGCAATCTGGGCTGTTCCCGCCCCCGGGCGTGCGGCAGGTGCCAGCCCCGGGCACATGGCCGTCCCCGTCCCCAGGGGCACCGCGCATGCCCTTGCTGGCCCTTGCCGGCCCTGGCCTTGGCCCCGCCCCCAGGGGCACTGCACATGCCCTTGCCAGCCCCGGCCTTGGCCCCGCCCCTGGTGCTGGCCTTGGCCCCGCCCCCAGGGGCACCGCGTGTGCCCTGGCCCTGGTCCCGGCCCCGCCACACGGAACCTGGGCAGCCCCTGCCCGGGATTGCAGCACATGCCGGTGCTGACCTTGGGCGTGCGGTGCATGCTTGGCCCCGCCCCCAGTCACGTGGCCTGTGAGCGGCCCCGCCCCCAGGTGCCCGGCAGCCCCAAAAGGTTGGGGACCACTGCTCTAGAATCTTGCATGGGCAGTCCAGTATTTTGGGATGTATGCAGATCTGGTATCAGAAAATAATTTTTTGGCTCAATTCTCTCTTGCTGCTGCTCCTTAAGCAATTTAACAGCAATATAAAAGTTCTCATTTGTTGTAAGTTGGTGATTATTTTCTGGGAGCTTTATTCTTTTTCTCTCAACTTTTTTAATTTGGGAGACTTTTATCTGTTTCTCGAGAATAGGAACATTCTCCCCTCCCCCCCAACTTGATTATAATTTCAGTATATAAATGTTGTAAAATTCCCATATCTTAACTCCATAATGGTTAGAATTGTCTTATTTTAAGCATTGTCCTTGATACATTAAGAGCATCAAGAGTGTTGTAATGTCTTCTGTAAGTTTATAATTGCTACACTTAATCATTAGATATATACTCCTACACTAAATTTTATACATCAAAAATCTCTAAATGGTGTTAGTAAAAATATCATCTCATATAATATTCAACTTGATATATATCCAAAATGGTCTACTTTATTACAAAAAGCCTTTGAACTCCTTAACTTTTCAAAGAAATGTCATAAAATAAGGTTTGTCCTTGAAGTATTACTATTCCCTGCCTGGCTAAAATACTAGTTGTTAATTTACAAACTTGAGAATGTTGTGATATTACTTCTTAAATTATTTCATTTCTTTGCACATTAAGAGGTGCATTAATGGCTACTATGGGACCATAATGTTTGCTGAAATATAAGAAATTCTCAATTGATTTTGGAGATGTTTATTTTTCAGGCAGTATGGTTTATGGGCTCACTTTACTGTGTAAACTTCAATCTGGAAAGAAAGAATGGGAGATCACTCATTTAGGGTTTGGAATGTGTGGGGATTTTAAACTGTTTTTGTTTTGTTCCCTCACTACCGTGCATTTTTGTTTGAAGATAAAAAGATAAAAATCACATAGTTAGAAAACTGTTAATTCAGGATGCAGGAAAGGGTAATAGAATTGTGTTCAAATTTTTCAATTGAAAATAACATTGCACTAAAATCAGGCTTTCAAGTTTTAATGCAAAAATACATGATTCAAATGCATCCTTACCCAACAAATAAAATGTAAAAGAATGTCAGTCTATTTTGCTTCAGTCCTCACTAAAAAAGGCTGGTTGTGTGTGTGACCAAATAACACAATATGTATAAACAAGGGGAAGGAAAGGTAAGCCAAGACAGGGAAAGGGGGAAGAAAAGCTAAAGCATATTTAGATAAGGTAGATTCATTCAAGTTGGTGGAGCCTGATAAATTGATCCTACAGTAGTTAGAAATTAGCGGAAGCAATCTTGGAATCATTAATGATTATCTTTGAGAACTCATGGAGAACAGATGAGTTCCGAAAGAACTGGAGGAGGATGACTATACTACCAATCTTTAAAAGGGGAAACAGTGGAGACCTGGAAAGAGAGACTTATAAGACCTGTGATATCTGGAAAATTCTGGAGCAAATTAAGTCCGTTTTCTAGCACTGGCAAGAGATGTTGTTGTATTAAAGGAGTGATTCCTCATGAGTATTTTTTTGTTCTTTCCTTCATTTTTACGCTATATCCCCTAAAGCATGTTATTCCTCCCTAATAAGTGAAAATCAAAGTTTACACATTTAATTATGAAAACATTGTAGTGCTTAATCCAAGAGTAACAGTAGAGTTAATACTCTTGATGCTCTGTGCACTGAAAGAGGGAGGAACACTGACCTTGGGAATACTACAATTTTAATGAGTGCAAGATAGATGAGAAAATGCTGCAAACCCTGGCAAAATAGTTTTTATGCATTATCTTGGTACTTTTTGTTGGCCTCTTTTGTTGACAGCAGTGGTGTCCTTCCCAAAGGAAATAGCATTGGTCCATTTCATCACTAACTTGATTGTGTCAGTTTCTGCTGCTGATAGAGTAGTTCCAGCATATTTTGCATGCAAAATGGCTGTCACCCGATTGTCACGTAAAGGTGCATTTGCCAGCTGAAAAGTGATAGAAATAGGCAGAGAATATTAATGACTCTCTAAGTATATATTAAATTAGGAATGTAAGCGACTAGTCGACTATCCGATAAGTATAAGCATATCAGATAGTTGAGTAGTAACTCAACTACCCCTTTCCCCTGCCTTGCTGCCTGATATAGGCAACAAGGGGCTGAGGAGCAGAAGCTGGTTTTCCCCCAGCACTGTCTCTGTGGGGGGCAGAGGAGGTAGAGGTATTGTGGGGGATTGGTCATGAGCCGGTCACAGGCGCCACGCCTCTATTTCTTAAATGTATTAAGAGACGGCATACATTTTCTATATTTATGTACACTCACACCCCTCATTGACAATTGGACTTTCGCATGTCTTTTTGGGCACTTTGTGCTGTTGGTGAGAAGAATCCTGATTCTAGAAGTATTGCATCTCAGATACTATTGAGACAGCCAGGATTATCCACAAATTTATATCTCCATTAATGGTTTTGAACTATACATTTTTTCATAAAATTAACAAAAAAAAAAATAGGGTTACAGATATTCAGGTGAAAACCTGCACTTTTCCATCTATATCTGCTTTCGTATGCAATTAATGTCAAGAGCGGCATACGCAATAACATTTAACATTTCGTATTTGATAAATGAGTGGAAGAATCATAATATTATTTTAACCTTCTTGAGCTCTACCTTTTTATTTCTAAAATATGTGTTTCCTAATACAAATAATTTTAAAAGGAAGAAGACTTATTAGGTGCATTTTATCAGCCTCTGTGCAGTTAAGTGACACATTTGCATTTTTGTCAAGTATGATAAAAGCTCCAAAATGGCATCTTATAAATGTCAGAAATCTGATTTTTCTTTGTTGACCTTTCAGAAATTGATGAAAGGCTATAATATGTCTTCACATTCATGAGTGTGTGAAATAGAAATAGAATTGCTTAAGTGCCATTTGCTCAGGGTGACTTCTCTTGCACCGATAATACTGCTTTGCATTTTAAATCTACAAATTGAACTTTCCTTTCTTGGATAATGGTAATATCACTATAGAACAGTCAAACTTAATGTTTGTTTGAAAAGTCTGAAATTGCCCCTGCAAATTGGTTCTTGACACTTTGACTCAAGATGCAAATGTAATGTCCGTATGTTCTTCGGACAATGCAGAGTAGACAAACTAGTACAAAAGGGTTTCCAAATTCAAAATTGTTATAATTAATGTTTTTAGAAGCAATGAAATATTTTTACCATCACTCTCTTAATGTATTTGTTTTAGGTAGTTGCTATCCATGTCCAGAGACAGTAGATGTGTTGTGCAGTTGTGGTAAAACTATTCTCAAAGTACCATGTGGCAGAGAACGTAGCACCAAGCCTCCGAAATGCAAAGAGCTTTGCAGGTTGGTACAGAAGACTTGGGCACACAAATTGGTTTCTAGTTCTTTGGATGACTTGAAGAATTTGAATGCATTTAAATGCTTGCATGCTACTATTTCTCTGACAGAAGCATTATGTCAGATTTATTATGTAAGACTTGTCTTTTCAGGGTCCTCTGTATATTCCACTGTATAAGGTAATTGCAGCAATGTCCCTTCCACTCAGATTCCCCTTTTAGTAGACTGACTTTGGTTTTTTTGTTTGTTTTTTTTTTGTTTTGTTTTTTGTCCTCAGAGGACTGTATCACTTTGGAACTCAAGAATTTTTGTTAACTGGTCAAAGCAGTTGACGATGTTGAAGACTAAAGGCCTACATTGTTTTCATTTTTACAATTGAAGTATGGTTTTACTGGCTTATGCTTGCACTATTAAAATCTTTTCATTTGCCAATGGAACTGGCTTTTAAAATACACTAGAATCCATGGCCTTTGGGAATAGGAAAGATAAAACTTGCACTGAAATCCATAGAACATTTATTTATTTATTTATTCTTTTTAGTGTGTTCATTTTAAAGTGTAATAGCTTGATGGACTTTTGTGTAGCCTAGGACTAGAAACCATTTAATCAACAGTCTTTAAATGTTCAAGAAAAAATCAGTTTTAATAATTGAGTGTATATAGTTTAAATGATGGTTTAATGGTTCTTTTGAATTAAAAGATCCAGATGATTTACTATCTTAAAATAAAGTTAAATAAATCACATTAAAGAGAAATTATTTGTTTGCATTATTTTCTTTTCTTCCATTGTGGAACAGTCAAGGACATAACATCATGGCTTTACCTCCGAGGCAAACAATGGCAAACATTAAATAAGGTCCAAGTCCTGTCATCTTAAGAAGTGTATTTCTGCAGGAGAGTTAGAGAATGAGATTTAAGTATATAAGGGAGTGTCTTTTCTTATATAAGGAGAGGGAGATGTAGGATGGGAGAAGAGGACAATGACAAAGTTGCCAGTGAGCAACTTTCTTTTGTACATTCATCTTTCTGCAC